TTTAAGTGGAAAACCCCAGGACAAGGCAGGAAGCAGGTGCAAGAAGGAAAAGTTTTGCTTGTTCCTCCCTCCTGGTCCTGTTGAATTCAACCACATTCGTGGAGCTTCCAGGGAAGGAAGGTCTCTTGCCTGTGTGTTGGATCTGGTCGATGCTGGGTTTTTTTGTAGTACTGTGAATGTTCTGCCCTGCCTGTAGGAACAAAGCAAATCCCATTGTGCTGTCAACTGGCACCACGTGGTCCAGGTTCTGGCTGGAATGTCCATGTCCCAGGGTGGTGGCTGCCCCTGGGATATATCCCAAAACTTCCCATAGGATGCCTTTTTCATGGAGTAGTGCTGGCTGTGGGAGGCTGCTGGGACTGCTGGTGCTGTTTTCCAGGGGTGACTCTGGGGGTTTTAAGGGACTGGCTCCCACCTGAGGCAGAGAGTTGGTCCTGGAATTGCCCCATGCTCACTGCTCCATCGTGTGCTGCTGGACCTGGACCAGGTGCTGCCTCACCTGGGGAGGTGAGAGCACACAAGGCCACCCACCAGAGCCATCTTCAGCAGCTCTGCTTGGAAATGGCAAGAAATAATTTCAGTTCCTCTTGAGGAGTCATTTACCAACATTTTACATGGGGCTGTAAGTGCACAGAATTACTAGCTGCCTTTCAGGACCTTTAAAATTATCTCCATTGCAGAGGAAAATTAAAGCAATGGAAGAATAGGAGCCTATCTTTTATAGTGCATTATAAAATACACCCAGTCTGAAGGTTACGGAACCTCTGCTTTCTCTAAGGGAGAGCTAATCCAGACAATCCCTAGCAGTCTTTTTACTGCTCCACTCTGATCTCCCTGGCACAAAATCCGTGAGCAGATTATCTTGGGAGCAGCAACACTGATAAGCAGAAGGACTTAAGGTTTTGGACTTCTTTTTAATTAGTTCTGTAGTGCTTTTTTTGTGCACACGTCGATTTCTCTCAGCGTAGAGTCTTGCTGGGCTTTTTAATGGCAGGAGCAATGTGAAAGCTTCTCTGGCTTTGGAAGTTAGGAAGTCACTAAGTGACTGGTTCCCTCATCTACAGACTGTGCCGAAACTCGTGGGTCCTTGCTGCAAGCACTAGTGCCTCTTCCATGTCTTGAGCACCTCTTGGGCTGAGAAGCTCTTCTCCCTAGGCTGTCCCAGGCCACTGAGGGGGCAGATCTGCCACCCTGCGAGGGCCAGGCAGGGGCACATAGCCTGCAAGGACAGGGGCTGGAGAGGGGAGCAGAGCATGGATTTATCACCAGGTTTTGCCTTTCATCCCACAGGTATAAAGAGAAGCTACTTCAGCCTCCCCATCACCCTGGGTGTTGATGGGAAGTGTCAGCAATAAACAATTTCTGTCGACTCCACCAAGCCGGGCGGTCGCGGTGCCAGGACCCCAGGCTGCCCCGTGCCCAGGGCTAAGCCCAGAGACTCATCTGCCAGGTATGCTGGCCTCTAATAATTTTTTGGCCCACTGAATTAATCAAAATGCCCAAGGGTCAGTGGGGGAAGAGGCCACGTTCCTGTGCAAGTCAGATTTATTTTCCCATTTTTAGAGCCTATGTTAAATGCCAGACCCTGGCTGGCACCTTCCCATCTATCTCTCCCAATTCATGAAGAGGGGAAGGAGGGTCAGAACCTGCTAATGAGTTCAGCTCTCCTAATGGTTATTTTATCATTGGAGCAGAATAATTGTAATAATAATGATGCATCGTGCCTGCTGCCTGGAGAGTGCAGAGCTGCCTTTGTAATGCCTGACAAAGACGTTTATTTATATTTTTTTTTATTTGCAGCCTGTGTGATTAGAGGGCAGCACTCAGAATAGCCCAGTCGAGTTAAATGCATCTAGTAACAGTGCTTCGAGTCTAATTGCTGCCCTTTTCTTTTTTAGGCACTCACTACCCTAATTAAGAGCACAATTGAGTTGCATCTCAGCTGCCAGGACGGGTGGGAGGGGCATACCAGTCAAAGAAGGGCGATTCAGCCACTTTGCAGAGGGCCCTGCTCAGAGCTGCTTCATCCCTGGGGGACTGCTGCAGGCTAGGGGTCTTGGGCCCAATCCTGCTGGCTGGAGATGGTGGAATTCCCATGGCAGGGCTGGTTGTGCTGCTGGCAGTTTGCAGGAGTGGTGATAGCAGGGAGACTCGTGCCTTGTTTTGGAGTTGGTGTGTCTGGCCACTCGCTTGGCGTGCTCCCTGCTCTGGGAGCACAGGGCTGGCTCTGCACTGGGCTGAGTCCTGTGGGTGTTCCCATGGAGTTGTTGGGGACTGCAGGGCAGCTCTCACCCCTGAGTTCAGCTGTCTATCTCCTGCCTTCTCCTCGGGCCTCTGAGCAACCCTGGGGCCGGTCTGCCTGGGAGCAGCCAGGTAGGGACACGGGGAACTAGAGCACCAGCCTTGTCTCTGTCCTCACTTCTGTTCTGGATCTATCCCCAGCAACACATCCCCAGGGGTTCTGCTCCTGCTGGGATGTGTCCTCAGCATCCACTGCCCCACTGGGTCCTGGCTCTTGCACCAGCACTTGCCCTCAGCTCCGTTGCAGCACTTTATCCATCAAACCCCACGTTACCTTGGTCCCTTTTGTCATCTTCATACAGACACAGTTTTAAGCAATTAACACAACACATTCTGCTGATGTTTCCACATCCTTCTGCTGAAGGCAGACCCTTCCCTGAGAACTGAGACTTACCAGCAACAAAAAGTGTCATTTCAGAGAGGAAAACCCCTCCAGGGCTGGAGGAGATCCAGGTACAGAGCCCAGCAGGGCTGCACCCTCATCCCTGCCTTCCCATCTGCTGGCAGCTCTGAGATGAGAGGGAACTTCTCAAGGTTTGCTCATGGACTGTCAGTGCTGGGACCTTAGTGTCTGCTGCTGTGGGATGGTGTGGTTGGAGTTGGCCTGTCTTGCTGGATACGGGCTCCCTGCTGCCCTCGCCCCTGGGGCAGGTTGTGGCACCAAGGGGACAGGAGGTTTTGTCAGTATTTCCTGGCCCGAGTCTGTTTTCATGCCAAGCTCTTAATTTGTTTTATAAATTGCCAAATCCAGCAGGCTAAGCCATGGGCCCCCTTCTGTGATAAAAATAAAATAACAGCTTGATCTTGGGAGGGCCAAGCCCGGGGCTGGCAGGAAGCGGCTGATTAAAGGGCAGGTGGAAATGATGAGGCTCCGAAACCGGCGGCTGCGTCTTCCGCTCTCGAATGAAAACGCAGATTTGCTGAGTTTTACTGACTTGGCTTCCACCCGTGTGCCAGGCAGGCTTCTGGTACACCCATCCTGCTGTGGTGGGCTATGCAGAGCCCCAGGCTGATGTTGTGACACTGCTGGACGTGGTGGTGAGGTGCCTGTGGCTGTGAGTGTGGGCAGGGGCCCAGGGTGCTTTCCTCCTCTTTGCGTGACGTGGAGCGAGCTTGGCTGGTAATAGCTCTGGAAATGCCCACTTGGGCCAAAGCCAGGGGTGATGCAGACAGTGTTGCAGGTTTGGCCTCACCCTTTGTTGCTTCCCTCTCCCCTGAGCTCAGGTAAACTCCACCAACTTGTGACTTACTTAAACCAATAGCTAATTTGCCATGAAATTACTCCAGAACAAGGTGGGGGGTACATTATTCTGGCAGGAATCTCTGCATATTTGCTCTGCTTTGAAGGCAAAGTATTTGCTCCAGAGCAATGATATTTATTTGCTAGCAGGCAGACCTGTATCTCACTTGTTTTTGGGTTGGAAGATCACTGTGAAATTGCAGCAAGAAGATTTTAGTCCCCTGAATATCTGCTGCCTCCCGGGGTGCCTTGCTGCAGAGGCTGTTGATGCTGGGGAAAAAAAATCACCTTATTTACTACCATAAAGTTTGTCTAACTTACCTCCCAGGCAGAAAACCCTGCTTTGGTATTAAGCAAAATTGTTCTGCTTTTTATTTTGGATTAATTTTTTTTCCCCTGCTCTGTACCCATGTGCTTGGCAGGAAGGTGCAGTTACCGTGGAAACAGCGGTGGGATGCTGCACAGGGACAGGGCAGCTCTTGGGCAGACCCCTTTTGGGAAGGTGGGCACAGAAAAGTGAGGGTCCAGAGCCACCCTGGAAGTTCAAGACTGGTGGCAGGCAAAGTTGTGCTGGGGGAGATGCTGCTCCTTGTCTGGGCTTTGGTGTGCAAATGAGGTCCAGGAGCCTGGAGAAGGTTAAATCATGTTGTTGGAAAGCATGTCTTTTTAAGGCTTTTCCTCTGCTTTGGATTAGCACGACTTGCCCACATCATCCAAAGGGAAAGGATTTCTCAAGTCAAATGTACTTCTATTGCTGAGGCTCTTTTGGTTTGTCCTGGTCTCCTGCCTCTTCCCTGTGGTCACATTCCAGGAGCTGCCCCTTTGCTGCCCCTCCTGGGTTGCAGATGCTGTAAGGAGGCACTGCTTTGATTAAAAGCTGTTGGTGTTTTTAATTCTAAACATGAAAGTATTGCCATTCTCACTGGGTTTAATTTACAGTTTGCAGCCAAATTGGAGCTGGAAAGTGCTCCCATTGGTGGCTCGCTTGTTTGAAGGAGTCAATATACAAATACATGTTCTGGGAATGCCAGCAGCAATGGAAGGGGGAGATGTACTGACAGGGGGTCTCAGTTGTGTCCCAGCCATGCCTGGATCTTCCCAGAGAAGAGCCTCCAGCCCCTGTGGAACAGGAATCTACTGGCTGTAGTGGGGCTGCTGATAGATAGGGATGACCCATGGGAGAGCCCACAGGGGTGAAGTCTCAATGCTGGCTGTAGCTGTTCATCCCTCTTGCTCTTCTCCCAGGGGTGTGCCAGCCCCTCCAGCCAACATGGGGATGGCCACCAGCCTCCCAGCATGAAGCCATGTTTCATAACAGGGCTCACAGGAGGATGCTTTATGTTTTATAATGTCTGCAGCCATTTCTTTAGCATCTTCATCCACTCCTTTTGTGTTTAGAGGAAGAAGAGCCAGCATTTGCTGGGCTCTGCAGGTTAATAACATCTTTTCTCCTTTGCAGCCACTCTGGGGACTCTGGATTTCAGCCTGCTCTACGATCAAGAAAACAACGCTCTGCACTGCACGATCAATAAAGCCAAGGTACGTCTCAGTGCTGGGCGTGTGGACAGCAGGGACCAGCTGTGCCTGGAGCTGCCCACCCTTGTCCTGCACCATGGGGCCACCAGAGCCCTGCCAAAACCACAAGGCCAGCCAGGTGCTGCAGCTGTGCCAAACAAATGCAGCAGTGAGGGCAGCATGTGGGGGTAGCAAGGTGTCCCCCACTGGGCTCTGGTGTCGCAGCTGCAGCCATCCCTTTGCTAGCTCCACTTCCACCCCGACACCCAGTGCTTCTGCCCTCTCCTTCCCTTCCACCCCATCCTTTCAGGGCATTTCCAGTGGGATGGAGACATCTGTTTATCCCTATGACAAAATGGTTGCAGCTATTGATGCTTTTTAGAAGAGCACCCAACCCGATGTTGTCATGTAGTTGACGCTGTGACCGGCTGTCAGGTTATAAATGGCTCTTTTAAATGCTGCTAATCATTGCCACAAAGTGCTCTGCCTGAACGCCTTTGCTGTCTGCATGATTGAAGCAATTAGGGTTTTTTGCACATTTTGGAGCAAAACCAGATAGCTGAGGTCCTGATTCTGCCTCTGGGCCTGTGGAAGGTGCTTCTGGGTGCTTCTCAGTTCCTCCCTGCTTCATTCAGCACGGGGACCAGAGCAGCCAGTGCTCCAGGTCAACATGGCTGGGCCACAACAGTGTGGGGTTGGTGGAAGACCTCAGTCCCTGCAGAACTTTTGAAGGGGTGGAGGGATTTAACAGAAGACATGAGAAACTGCAGGAGAACAGGCTGTGAGCTGAGCCCCCCGAGGATCATCCCATGCTGTTTGCCTTCATAGGATGCTCCTCTCCTGTCCAGCTGCAACTGGCTTGTTTGCAGCCCCCACCCTATAGCCCCCTGAGCTGGGTGCTGAGGATCCACATCCCCATGCCAGGGTTTTCCCTGTCTGGAGTAAGACCTGAAGCCCGAAAGCTTGGCTTTGAGCATGAGGGTGGGGGTGTCTGCCCTAGGGCACCTGGAGCTCCTCCCGGCCAGGAGGGGCGAGTACAGCACGCACAGCTCCGGGGCAGGGAGGAGGCACCGGCAGGGTTTGCTTCCCT